TGACTGTGTCTGACCTCTGTGCTGTGTTTTGTTTACTGTTCTGTGTTGTTGTGTAGTATACCTAAAATATCTATTCTCTTCTTCTTCTTCTTCTATGACTGAGTGTCTGACTTCTGCAACAGAATTTTTCCCATTACATCTGTAAAACAATGTCATCTTGAGTCTCTTCAAAGGCTTACTATGTAATGTGTCTTAGTCAGGCTTCTTGCAGGTATTAAGACTTTATTGTGCATTGATTGCTCCATAATGGTCCCTGTGTCCTCTGCTACCATGACAACTTAGCTCTGTTTCATTCAAGGACAGGCTGCCCTGGTTTAGCTTTCAGTAGGACATATTTGTGGGTGAAAGCATAGTTGCCTTAATTAACAGGGGATAGAGACTTACAACACCTCAATTTTCATTGGTGCCCTCAGTTACTTGATAAGTCAGAGCTAAACCAGAATGGTTTTTATCTCTAAATAAAATGATTAAATTTGTTCCAGTTTAATTCTGACTTCCTATGAAATAGTATATGAACCTGCAGTTAGCAGGGCCAGGGACTTACGAATGTCTGCTATCTTGCAGTCTTGGCATATCTGTTCCAATCCACACAGTAAATAGACAGGGGCACTTACTATATAGTAATGCCCCACCTCCCAATAATTGTGAGAACACAAAAAGTTGCAGCTACATGCATGGGGTAGCTTGAAATTTTCCCCGTTCAAAACAGGATGATGACAAGAAAAAAGTTTTGGAGCCACTGACATTTGAGTTTTTGAGGAGAGCTCCAAAAACGAATGATAAAAGTAAGATGATAAATCCACAGGATACACCTGATGTATTACTGAAATTTGAATTGTAGCTAAATTATTGTTATTACTTTTCACTATTTAGCTGTGATGTAATAACATTGTTACAGTGCATCATCCCAAGACACACTCCTGTTTAAAGATAGCATTCCTGGAATGACGAGGCAAAATGTAGATACCAGGAGTAGTGTAACCTACTTTATGAGTTTTCCTTACAGCTTTGTCATGTTACCCACTTGTTACCTACATTTTTACTACCCTTTTTATTTTTTTATTAATAAATACCTTAGTTAGCAGTAACTGTGCAAGAGAAAAATGGTGTATAGATGTAAATACAGTCTCATTATCCTAATTTTTATGCAATGTCAGATTATATTACACCATTCCTTTTTTAAAACTGGTCCTTTCACCTGCCACATACCAAGAATTACATGCACGCGTTTTTGATAAGCCATGGAATTTGAAAAGTATGGTCATTAATTACTTTATTAAAAAATATTTGCGCAGTGTTTTACGTCCATTATTTGACAATGATCACTCATGTTAGAATATATTATTATATTCAAAGTGTGCTGTTTCAGTTTTTTCAAAAAAACCTAATACCCAGACTAAAAATATCACAGATTTAGAGAAAGTAAGTATTTGTTTTAATATATTCTAGTTTAATGTTTGCCATTAACTGCTGTTTTCCATCTCTGATTATATTCCAGGAACTGGGCCTTGTCATTACCGGAACCCTGCCTGTCTTCAATCTAACAAAAGACCAAGATGGAAAAAAAGTAAGCATGAAGTATTACTTAAGTCAAAAAGACATTTCAGTTATATTAATTAAACTTGGTGGAGAAATCTTCTTGGAAATAGATATTTGCATAAAAGATTATAGGCTATAGTCTAATTGCATGTACAGCTAGAAATATACTGTTACATCAAGTTTCTGATAATCTGGGCATAAGGAAATACAGATTACGTTGTTTGTTGTCCTAAATTTCAATACGTGACATTACTTGATCTTCCTGCGTGACCTGATGACACTGAGAATTCCTTATGGGATGAATAGCTAGATGGGGAATAGGTGGTAATGATGCAGAGATGTTCCAGGAGAGGCTGTCCATTTGCCTTTATAAAAAAACATGGAAGCTATGAAGTTTCAGGACAATAGGCAATAGTTACATGGAAGAACAGTCACTTATCTAGGAGAGTGTCAGGAAAGGACAGGTGGGTTTCTGAGTATGGAAGAGGAATATCTGTCTTCCTCTCAAAAGGGCATCTTTATTATATGATCTAACTTCGTACTGCACTTACTACTTTTTTGAAAGATGATCCAAATAAGTTTATAAATATACTGTAAATTGCATACTGTATAGTAACCCTTGAGTTGCAAAGTGAAATGCTCAAAATTAGAAAATCTTGAATTTAAATGTTTCCTTGGCATCATAGAGCTACGCACACACATACACACTCACTTTAAACTAGATCACTTCCCTAAAGTCCCTTCTAGCCCTATTTTTCCATAATTCTATAAAATAAATAGAGACACCTCACATGTTTATACTATTATCTGTTGTTTACTGCATTTCTTACATACTCAACCATGAAAACGTAAGTTTCTTAGCGTGGGAGCTTATATATATTTACTTGGATCTTTGTATCTTCTTACCGCTTAACACAAGGGTAGGCAAAATACAGCCTGCAGGCCAGATCTGGCTTACCAGCTGATCGTATCTGGCCCATGGCTGCTGCCACAGTTCTCTGCATGGGGCTGAGTCTCGCCTGCTTCCACTTTCCACCCACTCAGCTGCCCACAGGTGGCTGCTTATCGCACCAGAAGGTGGCCAGGAGTGGGAGCTGGAGCCCCACATGCTGAGGCAGAAGCTGCCTGC